GCACAGGAGATTGGTTGACTGTTGGTACATCCCTTCATTTTGTTGAGTCTTTGAGCTCTTGCTTTTCAGATGGATCTGATAATTTCTGCCATGCCTAATTTCTAGGACTTCTATCAGGATTCAGTGAGATGCAGGGGATTTCAGTGCTTAGAATAACACCATGTTACGTGAACACTGATATTATTCATGTTGAAAATGCATGGAAACGTGTTGGGTTTCTCACTACCTACCCCAGGACCCTTTTAAAAAAAAAGAGTTAAAAGCGAGTCTGGTCCCCACTAGGCTGTGTCCTGGAGTTTATGGAACTCTACAGGGTCAATGGAGGCTTTGTGTGCCTGGGGGTCGGTTTCCCACAGCAGGGGTAAGATGGCCACACTCTGTCTCGTCACCACATTTTATCAAATGCAGCAATTTCTTAGACAAAAGTGAGGTTTCAAGTTACAGTAACCTCCACTTTGTTAAAAGCCCCCTCCGAACCCGCGCTCTTCTCGGTAGCCGTGCAGACACACATGGCATGGGTTACCAATGCCTCATATATTTATCCTGATAAAGCATCTAACCCTGCCTCTCAGTGAGGATATTTTTAACTCCTCCTCACTCTTCCCAGTTCCTTTAAGGACGTGTGATCTGACGGGGTCAGACACTTGGCTTCTACGTAAGGGAAAACTTTGAGAGAATTTCTTGAGGCTCTCCCTTGGGGTAGGGCTGGCTTTCCCCAAAACAATTGGCTCCGCAGGGCGTCTTTGCCACATAAGGGCTTGTGCGAGGCCCTGGGCACCAGTTGATGGCTGTCTTGCTCACGACAGATGGTCGAGACTTCAGTTTCAGCAAGTGATCTGCTGCTGAGAGAGCGGACGGGGGAGTGTGCCAGAGTGGCGGGGCAGCTCAGGGTGATGGGGATCTGGTGTGTGCCCGGCATAGCTTTTGTGCTAACGATGGGCTGTTGACAGGCGCCTCGCTGCTGCTCATCTCGGAGACAGAAGATCCCCTGCTCCCTTGATTCTGTTTCTCCCTGGCAGAGCCAGTGTCCTGTTTGCCTGGCTTTCAAAATCCATTTTGGCACCAGATGGAGCTCCTCCTGGTCGCTAGCAGTTGTCTGACTTGAAGATTCCAGAGGGGGTGCTGACAGCTCCTTCCAGTGCCACCTCAATCTGGCTGTCCAGTCTAGGCTCAGATGGCTTAAACACACACAGGCAGCAAATATGGTCAGCGCCAGGGAAGCCACCGGGGATGGTGAGGGGTACTCACTAGAGGGAAAGTGGTTGTGCGGGTGCTGGCTGTAGCAGTCACATTGTTGTTTTGGAGATATACATGTTAATCCTGCCTTTTAGTAGCATCGTTACGCTTATGTGCTCTATTAATACAATTGCTATTATAGGACAATGGCTATCAGTAGCGCAGTTAGTATTAATATCATTATTGCACTGCTTCTATTTTTACTAATACTGCTGGTAGCATGGTGGTGAGCTGCACAGACTCGGGAGCTGCACTGTGTGAATTTGAATTTGAGATTTGCATTTACTCACCTTCCGACAAGTTACAGTGTTTAACGTCTCTGACTCTATGTTCTCATCTGTAAAATAGGACTGATAGCTGAGGTTATTTGCAAAGACTTACTGGAAGGATGTGTTTGAAATTCCTGATACAGTACTGAGCGCATGGTAAGCACCTGGACTGTGGAGCCCACTTGTAAAGGCCACCATCACTGTGTTGCCTTGTGTTGGGTGCTACCCATTGTCTCCTGCAGTTTCTCTGTCGCCTTGCCAGGTGGGACCTCCCATTGTGCTCATTTTATAATTTAAAAAAGTCAAGGTTCTGTTTCATGTGCAAAATCACACGGGGAGCACCCGGCAGAGTCAGAGGATGACTTCTGTTCTGAGTGTTTCTTGGTGTGGTGGGTTTCCCCTGACACCACATCGGCTCTCATTGTCCATTCAGTGGTGATCAGCCCTGTCAGGGACCTGGAGTGTCTTTCAGATATGCCCCTTTGACTAGCTCTGCTGGAAAGACGCAACTAGTCTTCACATTTCAGGTATCTTTGCATCCAGAATCTTCAGCGATGTGGGAGACTCACTACCTACTGCCCGCTATGCTAGAGTAGAGTTTCTGGAAGCTATATGTGACCAGGAGCATCATCTTCTTGGTCCTCAGAGGAATGGGAGGATGCAGAGGTCTTAGGAAGGTGGCTGCATGCCCAGGCTCCCTGCTTTTCTGGGTCAGCTCCACTGAAGAAGAACCTCAGTCAGGGGCTGTCAGTGGGCCTGTGGGATGGTCCTGACCCTGGAAAGGGGCTGCGAGCTAGGCTTAATTGTACAGCTGGGCTTCAGCAGCTTCCTGTGAATCATATAACTTGGACAGAAAGGTGATGGCTTTGTTCTCTGTGGAGAGAACTTGGAAGTGGAGGCCCATCATTAATCAGGGTTCTTTCGGGGATGGGTTGTTCAAGGTTACATAAGATAGAGCTGGTCTACGAAGATGTTTCTCTTTTAAAACTTTGTACTTTTGGTGGAAAAGTCATTTTTTCTCTTTGAGGAGTTATTCTCAAGCCATGTTCCCATCTTGGCAGAGTCTAGGGGATCAGGCAGGAGAGAAGTGGCTGTGGGACTTGACATACAACAGTATTCAGAAATACTAAGTGTACCTTCCTGTGATGCTCTTATGAAGGACCAATGTGGACTTTGTGCTCAGAGAAAAATTCAGATGAAGGCATCATGGAGGCATCATGGAGAGTTTGTCTTAGTTACTTTTTCTTATTGCTGAGACAAAGTACCCAACACCCAAACTTAAAGCAAGAAAGGTTTATTTGACTCGTAGTGTGTAGAGGTTTCAGTTCATAGGTGGCTGGCTCCAAGGCAGGGTGGCACATAGCAGAGGGGGCAACACAGAAGAGAAATCGTTCATGGTAGGCAGAGAAGGGCAACACAGCAAAGTAGCAAGCAGTAAGCAACAAATGACAGCAGCCCTCTTTGTGCCCCTTATTTCCTATCCAGGCTCTCCACCCTCAGGGCAGGTAGCACTCACACCCTGGATGGGGTACCCTTAACTCTAACATCACACCAGGCATCAGTACCAGCATCACATCTTTGATGCCAGTATCACACAGCCTTCTCTAAAAAGCCCCACCAGTGACCATATGAGGCTTTGGGGGAACATTTAGACATAGCCATAGCAGAGTTCTTCACAAGTTATTTGATTTGAATGAGAATTTGACACCACTGGATACTTGAAAGGAGGAGGGTGTCAAGCTGAAGAAAAGAGAATTCCTACAAGAGTTTAAGTGACTAACAATTCAATGCATTCTGATAGTTTTTGAAAATATTTAGGCTGGAAATCCATAGTTGCATCTAGGCCTAAACATAAAAGGAATCACAGAACTTATATGACCTTAAAAATACTTTTGTTATTTTTTTCCCATAATTTTATTGATAAACAAATAGCAATGAGATAGTTTCAAATCAAATTGGTAGGACAGTTTCAATAATTAACACATTGCATACATTCTTCCTAGTGGTTAATTGCTGTACAAGATGTGGACATGATATCCTATTTACAAGCACCATTAGAACAAATCCCTCTATTCATTAAGAGAACGTAACTTTATATCTATCCTAACTACTTTGAATACACAGATACAAAATGGGCATTCATCTGTATACCCTTTTTTTTGTTAAGTTCCGTTATTTGAATATTATAGGTGTGTAAACTCAGCAAAATATTCTAAAAGAGTCCAGTAGTCCATAATAGTATTGGGTCTTCTGCTTCACTGACAATGTCAGAAATTGTTGACCTGAGTCCCCTACAGCTCAGCATAACAGCATGGCTTTACTTCTTATATTTCATTTTTATACTTTTCTGCTGGATGGTTAAGACCAAGGTAAAGCAGAACCTATGAAAAATACTTTTGTTAAAAAAAAAATCACCAAACAGAAAACAGACGGATTTAATTGTAGATAGCCAACTGAATGCATTAACGTGATACCTTTTCTCCCCAGTATTGCAGATTGAACTCAGGGCCTTCACAATAGGCGATTTTCTCAGCCCCCTCTTTTTACATTACTTGAGTCAGGGTCTTGCCAAGTTCCAGAGTTGCCTGGGCTGAGCTCAAGTTTGTGATTCCTTTGTCTCAGCCTCCCAAATGCTGGATTTATGGGTGTGTCCCACAACACCTGGTTAACATGGTATCTTTAGTACCCACCACCTTTCTATAGTGGGCTTTGACAAGTATGATATACTTTATGAGAAATAACTCAGAAAGTTGTAATGTATTACCTAAACCAAGACATTTTTGAGAGTTAAAGTAGCTACTATTACTACCTGTGCTTGAGAAGCTAGGATTTTTCTTGTGAGATTGGAACCACTGGTCACTTTAGCAAGTAAAACTCCATGGCCCTCACTGTGGAACCAGTTCAGAATCCACGGTGTCAGCGAGGCAGCAAGACTCTTATTCCATCACAAGGAGATTTAATCTACAGCAGGAAATCAAATAAAAATATCTAAAAAATATTTGAGAAGTCAAAGTGATTAAGTGACGGTGTGAACTACTTACTTCCCCTGAGTACTACTAATTAGAACATCTTGTTTCGAAAGGGTAAGATAAGAAAGTGTTCATCAGATCGTCATATCATCAAACGTGTATTTTTCCATTCATCACCTGTGAATTTGCAGGGCTGAAATGACACGCTGTGCTTGGGGACTCTGAGCCTTCTTAGACAGTTAGAGCCAGTTGGAACTTATGTTAAACCATGGTGGAAACCTTCCTGTTGTTGGGAGGTCTGTGTTTTTGTGAGATCTGTTGGCAGTACCAAGATTATTGCTTCACAACGAAGGTGCAGCTGGGATGCAAAACAGAGTGTAAGGCCTCAACCAAAGTAGCAGTTCTGACATCATTGTGAATATTTCAGCAAATGCCTAGAAAATGGAACACACAGAAGTGACTTCACAATGTGTTGCCTTCTGCATGGGGACTGATGTGTTAACAGTGATCACTTGTTTCTTGACAGGTTCTTCTTGAAGTTTTTTCTCAAATGCAACCAAAATTGCCTAAAGAATGCAGGAAACCCACGTGACATGCGGAGATTCCAGGTGGGTCAGTCTGGTCTTTCTTAAATCTTAATAACTGCCTGTGTATCATGGGGGTGGGGTAAAGCCTTAGGTGGAAGAAGAGGTGGAGTGCGGTTATTTCCCCAGAGGTGAAGAGCAGGTGAGGCGCTTAGTCCCCTGGGCATCTGCTATTTAGGAGTTCTTTGTGTTTGCATTCACCAGGAAGTGGGCCTGAACCACCTGTGTTCTCTGGTCTATGAAGAAACATCCCTGAGAGTCCAAATTCCTGAATGGACTCTCAGGCACAAAAACCCAGATTCACTAAAGTATAGAAAAATGACAAATTCTTTCCTGAAAATTTTGTAATTGTAAAACTAATACATAGGAGTAAAACTGCTAAAATTTTAAAAATGGAAAACAAAAAACTCTGTCCTGTCCTGTTCTTTTTACTCCACTCCTGCAATTTTGGAAACTGGTAGCAGCAATCACCTATTACAAAGGGACCCCCTGAGAAGAAGGGCTTGTCTAGAGTGATGTGGGCAACCCTTAGTTCTCTTTCAGAAATGTTCTTACACAACGTCTAGAGATGTCCTCGGGCCTGCCACCCTTTACAGCATGAGTGGTGTGCTAACGCCATTGAATTATACCTTTACAAAAGGGAAAAGATTCAAAAATAAATGTGCTGATATCTAAAACAGAAAATGTTTGTGGGTTTTAGGGAAGGTTGCTGAGTTCTAGATGCTTTACCTCTCTAACTTAAGGTGCTGAAAACCCCCTGGGATCTTATTAAAATGTTGGTTGAAGTCTGGGGTGGGGCTGGAATTTCTAACAAGCCCCCAAGTGACGCCAAAGCCAGGGGCCACACTTTGAGTGGTAAAGTTATAGGCCCGTGTGTTGCTCTCCCTCTAATTCTATGGCTAGCTTATTTGCATGGCCAGAGTAATGACCCATGGATGTACGCTTGTAGAGGCCATCAGAGCAATAGCGTGGTGCTTAAAGTAGGCTCTTACGTCTATTTAGTCAGCTTTAAGTGCAGATTGCAGCGCATGGAGGCTCCTGAAAAATATCAGCTGCACATAGTCTCTGAAGCAATTCTTTAAAAAGAAATGAGACTTATTAGCTTCATTAAAGAACAAATTCAATGGGGGAAGAGACCTTGACTCTTCAGTTTCTGAGTTAGTTTTATAAATATCACCTTGGCCTCCCCACCTTTTGTCTTAACAGAAATAAGTGGGGAGAACCCAGAGGTTTCTAGTTTTCCAGAAAATGTTGCTGCTGGCCACTTTCTGTCCCAACTTTGTAAACATAAGTGCTCTCAGCTCCACACAGGGCTTTGTGGAGAGTGGGAGGCGGCTCTGAGGTGAAGCTGGGGGAACCACACAGGCAAGCTACTGAGTCTGGGTTGCTGAGTGTCTTGCACTTGTGTGCGGGGCTTTAGTGTTCACTGTCTTGTGGCTTGCTTTGGGCTTGAGGTGAGCCACCTTTCTCTTCTGGCCAAGTTTGGGTTAGCACTAAGTACAATTATGCAAGAAACAATTTATGTCTATAATATCTAATGTCTGATGAGTACCTGGACCAGCTTAGCTGTACCTCTCAGGGCAGTAGAAGTGAGATGAACTTCCCAGCATTGAGAATCAAAATGAGCATTTGTGTAGAACTGTTCAAGACCTAAGAAGACAGTTGAAAGTCTTTGAGTTATGGCAATACAGCTCTTATACAAGATGAGAAGTCAATTCAATCTATTCTTTATGAGCGTGTCTAGAAAGTTTTAATTTTGCATATAAAATATTATTCTTTGCTTAGTAGAAAGACCACTAAAATAAGAAGATGTAAGTTATATTTCTGAAAAGTCGTGTAATCTTTTAGGGCTTCAGTTTCCTCCAATTTAAAATGAAGGTACAGTGGTACCTTCGTCCATGAGCTTAATTCTTTCCCCATTTCTGATTGTAGGATTTGTTCCATGATATATACTATGCTTGCCATTCAGTTGCAACAAGAACTGTGAAATGAATTTTGGGACTGGAATTGTAAAAAGAATTAAGTTCATGAACTGAGGTACCACTGTAAAATACTGATTCTGAAGGAGAACATCTCAAGTGAGCGTAGAAGTAATGACAAAAGATGAACTAGAAATGGAAACATTTGAAGAAAAATCCTTGTAGTAAACTGAAGACAGGTCATTAGTTCTGACTAATGTTTGTCAACCCAGGAATAATTGATATTTCAGACTGAATCATCTTTGGGTGGTGATGTTTGTGCTTTGCACTGTAGGGTGTTTAGAGTATTGCTGGTGTCTACTGACTGGATATCAGTAGAGAATAGTTCCTTTCTGTGCTCTGACAACCCAAATGTCTCCTTGCTAAATATCCGCTTGTCTCAGTTACTTTTCTCTCATTGCTGGGACAAAATAGCCAACATGCCAAATTAAGGAAGGAGAGGTTTATTTAGCTCATAGTTAGTGGAGGTTTCAGTCCACACACTGCTGGCTCCAAGGCAGAGCAGCACATGGCACGGGGCAGCAGTTTAGGAGGTGGAAAGCAGTAAAGAACAAAAGGAGGAGCGGCAGCTGTGGCTTCTAGCAAGCCCCTCTCCCCTCCTTATGTTGTAATGCAGATTATCTGCCCCAGGATGAGTGTAACGCTCACACCCATAATCCCAGCATTGGATCATGAATTAATCACAAACTCCAGAAGCTGCTCCATGGCTGCATGAGGCTTGGTAGGGTTAACTAGACACAAACCCCTCATGGAGAAGAGAAACAAAATTGCCCTTGATTAAGAACCACCATCTCTGCATTATGCCTGGTGACCTCTTACCATCTCTTAGGATCCCAAGGGTGCAACATTTGATTAGGTATGGGGGCTGCCCAGTGCAAGGTACATGATGGGCATCACAGAGATGTGCTGTTTTTGAGCCCTGACAATACTTGTGATTGTCAACAATTCCAAAAATGTTCTCAATAGGGACAGCTACTTTGGCTACTACAAATTCAGTTTCTGAGTTGAAGAAGGGGAACATTTCTATCAGGGGTAACAAACTACCTTGTATCTCAGATCCAACCTGCTTGTTCTTGTCACCCACAAACTACCTCCCAGAGAGGACAGGGGGCCCCTGTGCCCGCATGAACACTCGTTTGATGTTGTATCTGTGATTCACACATTTCTTTGACTATAATTTTTATGCAGATAATGCTTGGTCTTGTGTACGTAGGCCCACGGATGTTTGTACACCCAGAGAGTGGATTAACTGGTTGGAGAAATTGGACCAAACCTCAAGTATCCCTTGCCCAGTTTTAAATTTTTTTTAGTCTTGTTTTCTCCATGGCTATTTATGACCATCTTCTTCTGTATCATTTCATGCTGTTGGCCCTTCCATCCTTGTGGAATCGATCTTTTCTCTGTGGATTTTATGTTCCATTCACTCATTCTCAGCCTCTCTCACTCCCAAATGATACTGTTTGTCTGCCCTCCTGTAGACACTGGTGTTTTCCCTGCTTCCTTCAGACCTCCAGGTCTTTTCTCACATATGGCTCTGCGGTCTTCTCTGCTCCTAGTGTCGCTGGGCCACCAGTGTGGATCTGGAGCACTGAGGATCTGGAGCAGGGTGTCCAAGACCTGTGCTTAGGGTCAGGCCTAGTGTCCCATGCCTGGTGGAGGACTCCAGACACTTACTTCAATTTACGATTTCCAAACTGAACCCATTGTCATTCTCAGATTGTTCCCTCTACTTTAATCTGGTGTCTCCTCTGTTCCCTGGTACATTGCATTGGCTCATTTCTAATTTTATTAAGTGCCAGGCGGATAGCTATTTATATCAGCATCTACAATCAGAGTGTTCCATATTCATGTGTGAAATACACACACGTGTCATGTGTCTCCCTCTATGTATATTGGATATTGGTGATTGTGGGGATAAAGCTAACATTTACTGGGTACTTATTTTGAGAGAGGCATGATGTGAAGTATTGTATATGTATTATATATGAATTACATTTCTTCTCACAGTATCCCTCTTAGAAACTTGCAAATAAGGATGCTTCCCTTTTTATAAATAAGGAAAGAGGCTCAGCAAAGGTTAAATCATGTGTTCAAAGTTACGCACCTAATAGGTGACATGGCCAAGACTTAAGCCAAGGTAATACCTGACTCAGATATTACCTAAGTCTTCGGAACAATAAAGAAGTTGCCTACAGTCTGTAGCCAGGTCCGTGGGAAGCCATCAACAGAGCACTTAACATTTGAGAGTCATTGATACTATTTAAGAAAAAGCTCCCAAATTCCCAGAAACCTTGAGAGGGGTTTTCCAAAAGGCATTTGTCCTAAAATAGCTTTACGGTGCATTCACCTGAGGAGCGGTTTCACACCACCCAGGTTCATCAGGCAGGCCAACACTGCTGCAGAACAGAGCGGCGGAGCTGGTCAGCTTCCACTCACAGGCACTTAGGATGAAGGCGCTCGCTCTCCTGCCGTGGGCAGCCTGGGTGTCGCTTCACCTAGCGAGGCTTGGGGAGTTCCTCCAGGCAAGAGCTCCCATTTCCTTCCATGGGTATGAGTGAAGCAGCCCTCAGAAACTTCAAAGGATCCTGATAAGAAATCATATGATGATAAATATATAATTGTTCCTCTATACCCACAAAGGATTAATTCTTCATAGATAAGTAAAATCTACAGGTGCTCAAGTTCCTTATACAAAATTCAGCATTTGCATGTAACCTACACACATGCCCTATATACTTGAAACCATCTCTATACTAATTATAGTCCCTAATATAATGTAATTATATTTACTTCTTTATTAATCACTTCTCACATTAAACTGTGTGTTTTATCAGAAAAAAAAATTATATGAGACCTGCCGTGCTGGCCCCACCCTGGGGCACGCTGAGACGGTGATTGAGACTGGACATGGTGGTGCACACCAGTAATTCCAGCTCTTCGAAGATAAAAACAGGAGAATCACTATAAGTCTGATCTGTGTAGTGAGACCCTGTAAACCCTGCACTAAATAAAAAAAAATGCATGCGAGCTGGGTATAGCAGTGCA